GATTAACAGTTATGATTATGAGAAAAATTTTTTTAAGGTAAAGTATATAAACAGTTAGAACATAGAGGAAAATGCTTTTCAGCACTAAGAAAATGTTTTAACTGTAACTTTCTTGTTTCTGTAGTACTCATATTATATAGGCTCTTCTGTAAACTACGGCCGGCAGACAACAGTAGACGGCCAGTTATTCGGAGTTCTGTCCCTTGGCTACAGTGCAATTACTAACACTAACCCAAACTCTAACACTAACCCCAACCCTAAACCTAACTCTAACACTAACCCAAACTGTAACCGTATGATTATAGCAGGGCAGTGCACGCTGTCTATCGCCAACACACAGTAATTGTGTCAATTGTTTCGTTCCCTCCTTTTCCACTCCGTAATTGCACTGTAGCCAGGGGACAGAACACCGACTAACAGGCCGTCTACTGTTGTCTACTGGCCGTAGTTGACAGGAGAGCCTATTATATATATTATACCTTAGCATATCAATATGTTCAGGACAGTAAGGGATGGTTGTGACGTTTTGTGTGTTGAGTTAAAAAAAAATGTAACTATGACTGCTAGATAGAGATTACCATAACCAATCAATTGATACCTCAATGAAGCATGAAGGTAATTTTTAAGCGGATAAATTGACATTTTAGTGGCGGGCTCTCCTCCAAATAGCAGTCCTAAATTATTGAGGCTAAGAAAATACCCTAACAGGGCCTCAGTCATATGTAAATTGTGAAATCCTTTCTAGCGAGTACACTGCGGCTAAAGTAGGATTAATTTCCAGCGATAATTTGGCAAAACACAAACATTTTCACGGAATTAACACCATAGCAGCAGACCATCAGCTCTGACACTCACACTGGGTCCTAGTTTTAACTTCTCCCTTGGGTCCTAGGTTTAACTTCTCCCCTGGGTCCTAGGTTTACCTTCTCCCCTGGGACCTATGTTAAACTTTTTCCCTGGGTCCTAGGTTTAACTTCTCCCATGGGACCTATGTTAAACTTTTTTCCTGGGTCCTAGGTTTAACTTCTCCCCTGGGTCCTAAGTTTAACTTCTCCCCTGGGTCCTAGGCTTAACTTCTCCCCTGGGTCCTAGGCTTAACCTCTCCCCTAGGGTTAGGGCAACGAGTATTAGTACTACAATTATGACACCGCCACCAGAATCTGTCACAACAGTCCAACCGCGACACTAACGATTGACGGGTTATGCATGCAACTGACATGGGTGCAACATTACGAGGGTATGACTAGTCACTTGATTTGCCTCCCGCCCCTAGTGTATTCACTGGAAAGAAATCCTAATTTTACACACCATTCAGGCCCTGTTAGGGTATTTCCTTAGCCACGATAATTTAGGACCATTATTCAGAGGAGAGCCTCGTGACGGATACCACCATAGACAAATTATAGTGTAGGCTGACAAAAGATCGATGCAGAGCAGTGTCTCGTTAAAATGAAGGGTTGAAATGACTAAATTTTTGCATTTTATGGTGATAACTATTTTGTTTCTCAACAAATTCCTTAGCAACTGTATATCATTGCAAACAGAACAGTGATTCCTAACTGTAAATGCATTTCTTAAATACATTAATTGCAATATGGGCCTAATTAACACACAAAAATGGCTGCTAGCTAACTACTTTTAAATAAACAGTATACATTTATGGTTAATTTGCCAATGGGTCTGGCAAGGTGTATACCATTGTTGTGCGGAGTGAAGAGGCAGACATACAGATCACATAAAAATACTGGTATTAGGTGATATGATAATATTTACATTTAAAAAATGGCTGCCAGCTCACCAGTTTTAATTAGGCATTTTATGAGTTTATGACTAAAACAGATTTAAAGTAAAAAATATTCACTTCATTGCACTTGGTTTTACCATATGGCCTGGACTTTCTCTTCACAATGGCTTGCCCCCTGTCAAGAACGATGCACAAAGCACAACTTCCATAGCTCCAGCAATGATTCCATGGGAGCCTACAACTTTCAAACCATGAGTTTAATTATAATGGCTTACCAGCTTAGCTGTTACTAGTTCTGCATACAGGAGACGTCTTTGCTTCAGTAGAAAGTATATTGTTGGCATTGCTGCTCTTTTGAGTACACATTCTTTGAGGACAAAGTCTCACCATGACACACCAAAAATACGTCTCATATAAGATCGGTAAAGGAGTGTGCTCAGGATGCAAATCTCGTAAACTTTAATTTTGGTCCTATCAGTAAGCCTCTTGTTTGACCACTCTTTTTGGGAGAGGAAGGGATTGCAGAAGCTGTTTCCTATTCGCCTGTTTAGTTCTGCATCTAGGGAAAGAGCATCTGCGATTCAAGAGCCTAGGTATTCAAACTCATGTGTAGCCAACAGCTTTTGTTCATAAATGCTAATGCTTGGTGGGTTTACCACATTCATCCCTATCACTTGTGTTTTTTTGAGACTGATAGTCAGTCCAAATTCTTAGCATGCATTTACAAAAACAGTTTATGAGAATCTGCAAATTATTTTAATTATGTGCAGTAGCAGCTGCCTTATCCGCAGATAGAAAATCCCTGAGATATCTTGTCTACACCTTAGTCCTTGCACGAAGAGGGGAGAGATTGAAAAGGTTGCCATCTGACATCATATAGCATATGTAATATATAGCACATTATAACACTGTTGTGTGAAAAGACAAAGATGTGTCTATGAAGTAAATCCTTGGTAAAGTCTAAGCACTTAACTTCAAACATGAAGACTCTGCAACATTTTGACACGTGATTAATATGATTAATAATTATTTACATTTTTGTAACAAATTGTTTGTGAATAAATACTTATTTTCTTGTTTCCTTAACTATCCAGGGTGTTGTTGTTTCCTCCACTGAATGGATACAAAAGGCTCCTCATACACAAGACTGTAGAGAGTGACTTTTCAGACCTGGTGACATTTTCTGTTGGTACTGGGACTTCCAGACGGACTGTGGTAGCATTTAAAATAGCTTGCAGCAGGTTTGTTTAATTTTTGAAGATGAACATCTTAGTGCTGTCTTAATTTTTGATGTAACCACTGAATGAATGTAAGCATTAACAAATATGATAGGAAATATGAGAGTGGTCAGGTCACCTCATATCATAAGACTGAAAATGTAACAGGATACTACATTTCTAGCACATGATGAAATAAGAACCTTCCTTAACTCTTTTTAGTCTGAGGGGGTTTAGCATCAGAGGCCCAATGGGTGGTAACGCAACTTTGAAATGTCACAAGTGTAATACATTAAAACAGTCCCCATACTAATTCCACTGCCGCACAGCAATCACATATTATACATCAAAGTGACCAGGGATTGTTGAGGAATAATATTAGAATACTGCTACAATAAGTAAATTGTGTTAGTAGTTAAATATTAGAAAATAAACCTCTCTTTCCAGAGAAACCTTTAGAATATCATAATAGATCTGGTATTCTCTCCCTCCCTCTCTCTCCCCCTCTGTCTCTCTCTCTCACACACACACACACACACAGAGAGAGAGAGAGATATCTATATATTAATGTTATAACTCTGAATTTGCCCATAATTTTGTAGCGTGTGTTCCAAAATAATAAGGGAATCGTAATAGACCTGACAATGAAGAAAATTGCCTTTTTCACCATTATTCATTCTCTTTGTACCAGCTGACTTTGTTATCATTGTACGCTTTGCTTTAGGTAAATATCATAGCTATCCCTCATCAAAGTTTGACTCTTCTGAGCAATAAGCTGTCGGTACCACTGTCGAAACCAAGGTAAGACAAACCGCTGGGATCAAACCCAGCGCCCCAGCATAACGAAGCACTTCGCAACACCTAAGCCACAGACGCCAACTTCTTTGTGTTGCTTCAGATAAATCTGATAAACACATGTTTTATTTAAATGTGAGACTTCTAAAGTCATAAATGTTTGTTTGCATGTATGAAGAAGTCTGCTCAGAGGTCATATTGTTTTCACACATCAAGTAACTCAGTAAAGCTCACAAACTTGCTACGTTTGGTGCTTTCCGAAGAAATTTAAGGATCAACACATGTGACATTGAATACAGAGAAGTGGATATTCATTCATTCATTCATTCATTCAGTAGCATGTCCCTCGCGGAACCTCGCTGCCATAACAACCCTCCGGAAAACCTTCCTATCCTGAGCAAGATGTCCTGCGTCTGATACACCCATCTGGAGATCATCTGCCACATCCTGCACCCATCTTCTCCTTGGCCTAAAATCTTTCATGATTGTTATGGATTCTTGGCAAAATTTGCAGAAGGTAGTTTGCCGTTGCTTTCCTCCTGAGCAGTGACTATACTAGTCGGTGGCCATAGCCATTGTCTCTACTGATGAGATCATCTGCCTATCGCCGCAGAGTGCAGACCATAACCAACAATACCTGTCGGCTGCTCTTACACTCCATCCACCACCTGCTTCCATGGCTTCACGTAACCCTGATTGGGGGGCTAAACGGGTCCTCCACCTTGCCCAAGGGTGTCCCGTAGACTAGCGGAGGAAAGGAGGCGTCTTACTTCTCCTTTGATAGGGGATACCCCTACCCCGCTAACCATATAGGGGATATACCATTCAAAAACTGCAGGTTTGTTTGTTATACTGGTCAGTGATATATTTAAAACCACTTTGCTTTATGCGCAGACTGGGCAATAGGCTAGTAACAGATCAGCGCATGACGCATTCTTTGGGGCTCAAAGATTTAACATATAACCAGGTATAGATAAAGATCCGTGGTTGCCTCATATCATAAAAAGGTAAAAAAAAAAAAAATGTAATCTTTCTAATATGTGATAAAACAAATTAAAAAAAACAAAACTTTTTTTTTAACATAACAGATATTTAAACTAAGACTAGGTACCAGGGCAAAGTTCATTGTGCTGTAACAGACCATTTTATATTCTATTTTGATACTTAATGTTTCCAGTGCATAGATTATGTGTCACCTATGGTTTTTCTTATTCGTTTTCAGAGGCCCTAGTGGAATACAACTTATGAGTAATCCAGGTTCTCCAACACCAAGAGGTCGGGGCAGAGGTCGATGGAAGGAGATGTCTTCAAATGAAAGGGTTACCAATTGGGTAAACCAAAGAGAAGCAAAAAAATTGAATAGGGAACGATGGGCAAACCATGTCACTGGAAGTAATTCTGCGGCAGGAGATGCAGGGGATGTTCAAGTGCCAACAAAGCAGGAAGGCATGGAAATAGAATCAAGTCTTGACAGGTATGTTTTTGTTAGAGGTATAATTTTAGACAGATTTGTAGAAACAAATTCAAAAAAATAAACAACAGCTGGTAATAGTTAGTGAAGAAGAAGACTTAATTGTTGACAAAATAAAATGAAATAAGCTAGACAAAAGTTCATACCATTTTGCCATGACTGGAATGTGGCAGGTCTTTAGAAAACGGTGAGCCAGATCACCACCAGGTCTGCTCCTTATACAAGGAACTTGTCAGGTTTGGACTGATCATGTACCAGGTTTTGATGATTGTCCTTCAGCAAGAGTCACAGGTGCAAATCAGCATATTTATAATAAGTTATTGAAGTTGTGAAGTCCCTGTATGGTTCCCAGGGGGAGGGAAGGGGAAAGATTTAGAATTAACCCACTGCCCTCTACCAAGCATGTCCTACAGGGCGACTAATTTGGTGTGTATCTTAGAAAGTCAGGGAACCATCAGTCTGCATACAAATAAGTTAGATCTGTATATGTTTAAAAAAAAAAAAGATTTGTATGCAAAACTCAGGTTCTGAAACAAGTTCAAAGTTCGGAAGGGGATGAACAACCATAATTTTCTGCCAGAGTTTAGAGCCAGCAAACTTTAAGAAGAAGAAGTAGTATTAAAGTGAGAAAAGCTGCTTAAACTTGGGAACATCTTATTTTCATTATTAATTTGTTACTGAAGCATTTCTGCTCTAAGCAGTTATTTAGAAACACTAATATTCTGCACTAGGAGATAAAAAAATAATTATCTTGGTCAAATGGAGTTAACATAACAAGAACAGACCTTTTAAGTAATAGTTGGATGAGATGGTAACAGTTATAGATGCATCGATCCCTGATCTGTCCAGCTGCTTAGAGCTCATATGGTGCCTGTTTCTAGTGCTCAGGATCTTGTTCAAGGATTTTTTGCCTTGAGGGTCACTTAGAAATACACATTGTTAGCCAGTCTCAGATCCTAAACAACATGTAAGTGATCATTTTCCTTTCTGTGCCTGAGTGGAGGACATGGAAAGTGCCAGATACTGGAAAAATAACTGACATGTCCAGTGAAGTTTCATATCTAATGTATTATTCCTGAATTATTCTTCTCCGCGTTCACCAGCTGTAAGCTCTGGCGGAAAGTTTTGGTTGTTCATCCACTTTAGGACTGCAGTCGTGTTCCAGAACCTGAGTGTTGCTTGTGCATCTGTTTTACAGATCTGACTCATTTGTGTGCAGATTGCAAGTTCCTTGCCCATCAGGCAGATGCACTCTGACTTCGAAGGAAGCTCACAGTTAGTCGACACTTACGACATGCTTTTGGGTAGGCAGTGGGTCTTTTCTTGTTTTCCCCCCTATAATAGGGTCCTGGAACTCACACGGGGAAAATATTCCTGAAGTAAAATAGATTACTTTTGAATTACTTAAGACTGGTGTCTTCTTCTTCTTGTTGTTCTTCTTCTTTTTCTTCTTGATTTTCACCGGCTGTAAACTCTGGCAGAAAGTTCTGGTTGTTCGCCCACTTCTAGTCTTTGATCTTTTTCTAGAACCTGCGTTTTGTGTACAGATCCATTTTACTGATATGGCTGCAGATCCATTTTACAGGTCTGGCTTATTTGTTAGCAGACCTTTGGTTCCTGGCCTTTCAGACAGATGCAGTCTGACCTCGAAGGAAACACCCCTTATGAGTCGACTCTTATGACATGCTAGTTAGAGGGCACAGGGTCTATTCTTGTTGTACTCCAGACAACGGGACCCCCAGAACCTGCACAGGTCAGACTGGTTTGTTAGGTGTGGAATACTTCTTTCTCATTAATCCTAAAGGAGTGGCTAGAATACCGAGCACTCATTCAGAAGATCATGGTTAAATTCTCAGTAACAGTAATATCCTGGAAATTTTTTTCTGTCAGGGATAAAAATAAATATCTTAACCTGCATAGTTTATTGTAACTGAACTAGCCACAGTCATCACCTGTTCTTAGGCTCAAGACCCCCCCCCCCTCTCCCCCCCTCTCCCCCCCTCCCCCCCCCCACTGTTCTTCACTGCCTTAAAATGTGGTAAATACAGACATGAAAGAAAACTGCTAGTCCTGTTTTGTCTATTTATGTTGATGCTGTAGCATCTGTCTTATAGCCAACTCATGCAGGCTTTAAAATACCCACAGTTAGTCCAACAATAGACCGCTGATTTCAGGTGCTGTATCTGTGTTTTTAGACAAATCCAAGCTGCTGAACTTGTGTATCTCTGCTGAACAGAGTATTTTGAAGCTCAGTTTACCCTCCCCTTTTGATTTCTACTTTCTTGGCCAGGCTGCAGGGATATAACCTGTTTCCATGACTACATGTGGGGAGTTTAACAAAAAAAAATTCTAGCCTCTAGCAACTAACCTTGTAACCTAATCTGCTGTTTTCAACTGAAATGGCATTTTTAATATTGCACATTGACTGATCACTTCTTTCACATGTATCTGAGAAGGGTAGGTATGTGGTCTTACTACTAAATGTATCTAAAGGATATGAGATATCATTAAAAGCAGCTGAATTTTGTAAAAATTATAGCTAATCACATGCAATAGCAACAAGAGTCCTGGAATCCCAAGTTCTTATTTGGGAAGACTTCTTAATGTGTTCAGGTCTTGCTAGTTACACTCACCATCACCAGGCACTGTGAGTCCCATGCCACTTATTAGTGCAGTAAAACACAATCACCTGGACAGACAGAAAGGTGCCAGTGCTAATCTATGGCTTATGCCAGGAACAAACCTGGTAATTTCTGAGCTAAAAGTTAATATCAGAACCTTGCAGCCACAGTCCTTTAGTGGATTTGCTGTACTGTTTAGGTTTTTCTCAGTCTCTATAAGTGTCTAATTTATGTTTTTAATATCATCATTTAAAGGTCCAAGGCAAAGCGACAGAATGTTCCACTGTATGTCCCCCCATCTCTTCGTGCAAAGAAGGAATCAGGAAGAAAGAAAGATCCTTCTGATTTTAATCAGGACTGCTGTGCGGCCAAGGGACCTGACATTGATGATAAAATTCAGAATGGGAAGATAGGTAACAGTTCTGATGTCTTAGTCAGGAATGACAGCTATGACAGTGAAGAACAGAAGTCAGTACCTCGTGAAACAAGTCGATCTAAAGGACGAGGAAGAGGAAGGAAAAAACCAGAAGTTGAGATTTATGTACCTCGGGCTTTACGAGGTGCTAAACATGAGAGTAAATGTATTTCTGGAACTCAAGATTGTAATGAACTCAAACACAGAAACATATGCACAGAAGAGATTCAGCCAAACACTCTGTTTGCAGATTGCAACATTGATGTAAATGCTTTAGCTCCGGAGTCTTGTACACAATCTCCAGATTTTTCTGATGCGTGTATTTCTGATAAAGTCTCACAAGATGAAAATCAACATTATTCCAATAGTCAATCAGTACATCATTATCAAGCTGGTGGCTCTAATTCACCATTCAGTCATGCTTCCGTAACCAAAAAAGGGAAGTATGAAACCAACAACAGTCCAGCAGTGCACCATTATGAAGTGGATGCCCCAGCTTCCTCTCCAGACATATCTGATGAACAGCCACAAAAAAAGAGTGCAGGAAAATCCTTGACATTTGAATTCTATGACCCAGCTGTAGTTGCTTTTTTACCGTCAACCTGTTCTGTCCTGAATTCTTCAGATATAAATATGTCATATCCCACGGACAATTCTAGACAGACTCCATCTGTGCCCCAAGTTTCTGCTTCATTGCAGCAAAATGTAACAGAATTTTCTGACTCATCAATATCATGTGATGTTCATGCTCAAAGGCCATGTATTGATAATGACCATCAGGGTCAAGTCTCTGTAGAAAAAGACATCACACATAATGTGTTAGATGTTTGTGAAAATACTAAGAGAGATAGTCAGAAGAGAAGAATGCTCCCCACAGATGCATGTATAAATAAGAGTGTTCCAAACTTTAGCAGTGAGCAGATCTCTGTCAGGGGTTTGCTCAGTTGTCAAGAAAGTAGGGAAGAGATATCTATTGGTTACCAGAATACTCAAGAAAATAATGAACAGATGCCTACCAATGACTTATTTGATACATGTAACACTCCAGAAAGTAGTGAAATGTTAAAACTGCCTGTGATAGATGATTGCAGCAAGCCTGTATTGACCGTAGATAGTGCAGCATATTTAGAATGTGAGGCACCAGAAGAGATGTACAAAGATTTCAAAACTGTGTCTAATAATGCTGATGGGGCAGAAGTGGATTTCAGTGAGAAGATTTTAACTGTGACACTTTTGGCCGAGAAAACATATCCATGTGACAGCTTGTGTCAGGGTGATGTTAGTTCTCCAGTACAGCTGGCAGTGCAGATGCCAGTCGATCAGTTAGAGGGTCAGACAAATTCTGAGAGGCCTGAGCATTGTAGACCATTGGCCTGTGAGGCATTTACTTCCGAGAAGCTGGAGAACAGCAGATCAGTGGCGTGTGAGGAATATCATTCTGAGAAGCTGGAGAACAGAAAATCAGTGGCGTGTGAAGAATCTCATTATGAGAAGCCGGAGAATCACGAATCAGTGGCATGTGAAGAATATCATTCTGAGAAGCTGGAGAACAGCAGATCAGTGGTATGTGAAGAATATCATTCTGAGAAGCTGGAGAACAGCAGATCAGTGGTATGTGAAGAATATCATTCTGAGAAGCTGGAGAACAGCAGATCAGTGGTATGTGAAGAATATCATTCTGAGAAGCCGGAGGACCACAAATCAGTGGCATGTGAAGAATATCATTCTGAGAAGCCGGAGGACCACAAATCAGTGGCAGGAGAGGAATATCATTCTGAGAAGCCGGAGAACCACAAATCAGTGGCACGAGAGGGATATCATTCTGAGAAGCCGGAGAACCACAAATCAGTGGCATGTGAAGAATATCATTCTGAGAAGCCGGAGAACCACAAATCAGTGGTGTCTGAGGCTTCTAGTGATCTTGTTGATGATGGAGGAGATTCTTGGGATGCATTGTTTGATGATGACGGTGACTGTCTTGATGATACAGTAATGAAAGAGGTAATTCAATCTTCTGTTTGAGAGAGACAGCGACAGACAAATTGATTGGCTGACTGACTGACTACATTAATTTTTTTCTTCTTTCCTGTTCATGTAGTTGTTTTTTGGTCTGTTGTGTGGTGGGATGTGTGTACTGATTACTGTAGCTTTCAGTCTCTAGTCTGTACTGTATACTTGGCTGACTATATTCTGAATGTGTTTTTCTTTTTGTAAAATATTTTCATATTGTTAAATCTTCATATTATCTATTCTGTAATTTATTTTGCAATCCTTGCCCTTTAAAACAAATACAGATAATTTTTTCTTAGCTAGGAACTCTTACCACACTTAATTTTTACTTTAAGAGCCCTTTGAAACTCTTTTTATTTCAATACCTTTCAGTCTCTTTTGTGTCTATTTTGTGTGTGCTTCTTTGTCATTTTTAATGTATTGAATGTTTTATTGATTGTGTTGATAAATATATTTTGTCATTGACTATTGTTCAGGCAATTCGTGGAAGATTTTGAAATAACTAGGAGCACTTTTGGTGAGGCTAAGTCAGTGGTTAGATAACAGATCCTCCTCCCTTGCATGTGTTCTGGTGTTCAGTTCCTTGAAAAGAAAAAGAAAATAAAAAAAGGGTGGGGTGAATAGAACTACTACTCCTTGATGTGCATGTAAGAAAAGACAACCAATTAAGGGTTGGCTGAAATTGAATGTATTGGTATTGCAGCCTAGGCGTCAACCATAACACAGCATGTAAGCCACTCTTTTGAGGGAGAATGCATTAGAATTAGAAGTAAAAGAAAGCAAAATGGTCATTACGGTGGATTGCACTTGGCTGCTGTCTTGGTAATGCTTGCCTTTTAAAACTGTGGTTATGTATTCAAATCACCTCCATTGACCTGGGTTCACAGCTCAATCCGGCCTAAAATAGGTACTAGGAAATGATCTAGAAGTAAAGGTGGCTGGTGTAATACTAACTATATCATCCATTGAATCTTGGGGGATAGCATTATATGCCCAGTATGATGCTTAGCGCGGCGTCCGTGGCTAAGGCGTTGCGAGTCCGACTCGTGAGCCAGCATACCGCGATCGAAACCCACTGCAGGCTGCGTGGATTTTTGTCGTGGTATGGGATGTCGCAGGTCAACCCAGCCTAAAATGGGTACCAGGATGGGCTGTCCTGGGAAAGTAAAGACAGCTGGCGTAATGCTGACCACATTACCCACAGAGTGCTGATGGTCTGTAAAAATATGGGACGCTCTGCCCATATGCCCGATGCGCCGAAAGGCGTGAAAAGGGATCTTTACTTTTTTACTTTTATGATGCTTAGCAAGAAAAAGGGAAACATTTCCTTTACTCTTCCTTACTTCTTAGGTAAATAAGTGAACTGATAACTACTACTACTACAACAGTTGTGTTTAATTATAGCAGATGATCATAAGACACAACAGGATAGATGACAGACAGTGAACATTGTGTTTTGTTTCTTAAGATGTTGTTTATATTGATCCATAAAGCTACAGCTGTGCTTGTTTAGTAAAGTTATAGTATTTGCAAAAACCATTGACATCAAAAGTAGCTAGCAACAGTTGTCTTTTAATGTCTATCAGAACTCATTTGGAACATGAGTGAAGCCTGCAAGCTGAATATACTACTAAATGACAACCCTCAGTTAAAACATCTGTCGAGCGAAAGAACTACTAAGCTGCTGAGGATAGGCCTAGACCAAGAGATATGCTTGCAGCTTGAATGAGCAACATATCCTGAGGGTGGTATCTCATGATACGGTCATGTCTCCATACATCCTTTGTCGACCCTCACCATCATCTTCACTGCATTAAAGTGAACAATGACATTTTACCACTGTCAGTCAGCTGATTAGGCTGAAATGTTCGTCAGAAACATGCCCTATGGCATAGCAGCAAAGTCCTAAGAGTTGATTTGATTTAAGAACAGACATTACAACACTTAAGGCATTCCCATAAGCATTCCGTCCCTATCTTCAGCAGCCAGCGCAGAGTTCCAATACTAATGGCACCAGTAGCATTCTTATTAAATGTCTGTCTTGCCTTTCCTCTGAGCGTCGAGAATCTTCCAGAGCCCCTCGTTACTTCCCGCTGCATCAGTCTCACCAGTCTGTGGTGATCCATTTGCTACTCTGAATTGTATACGCTCTCCCACAAGGCCCTAACCACGTCTGCCTTATCATGCATCAACATTTCACCAAGTTGTGCAGAGCCAGCCAGTCTGTCCGCCTGTTCATTTCCCAATACATTGGCATATCCAGGAGAAAAGATCCAGACAGTACTCCTCCCCTGTGACCTCTGCAGCTAAGCATGCCACTCTGCACGAAGCATGCCTGCCCTGAGAGCATGCTTTCTGAGTCAGTTACCGTCACAGTGTGTGTGTGTGTGTGTGTGTGGTGTTCTCTAACCAGCAGAAAGCTGCAGTGACCGAGATGTCAGTCAGTTCATTAATTTCTGTTTTAAATTTGGTGGACCTGTGACTAATAAGTGTGTCTCTTTCACATCACCAGCCATGTAGCTCATTTGCCATTTCTCAGTCTTTAATTTCTTTCAATTTTTTTATTCATTTTCCTGGAGCAAAAACACTGGTTTGGAACCACTGCTCTAGAGACATGAAAACGAATGCTATCTGGCTGGGCAGATCAAATAGTTAACAATTTTGGTAAAATATGCTGATGTTATGTTTAAATTGTTTGTGTAAACAATTTTATAAGACATTTCTTCTATAAACTTACAGTTGACAGAATATGTTGGCAAAGTAGAGATTGATAAGCCAAAAATCAACTATTTGAACTATGAGCCAAAGGAGGCTGCAGTAGATTATGAAGGTAAGTCAATGTTGCTATTAGTTTTGGTAAAAGTCTATGTCAGCAAACAGTAACTGATTGACTTTATTGCACCATATTTATCACCCTTTAATTTATTTATTGGTGCACAAATCTTCTTTTCTTAGTCCCTGGGAGATTGAACTCAGTGCTTGTAGTCTGTATCACAGGGTTAGGGTTGAATGATTGTTGACTACACTGTTGCAAGAAATACTATTGTGAGCTAATTTTTCTCATTTTAATTTTAGCCAGGGCAGTGACTAGATTGGTTTGTAATGTTTGTTCATTTTCAAATTGTGGAGGTGTTTACTTTGGGTGATCCATAAGATCTTACCCTGGCTTTAAAAAAAAAAAAAAACAACAAAAAGAAAGCTGAAATTTGGTACAATGTTTATTCCTTTTCAGTATAACGTTCTCCAAAATCTAAATATTTATGGCATCCCTGCCAGACTTTTAAAAGACCTAGAGAATAAAACACCCAATTTTTTTGGGAGCTAAACCAGTCATCAAAAGCCAGTGTAGCTTCTTTATGACTAGCAGACTGAGTTCTTTTCATCTGTTTTTTAAGGTTTGGGAAAAGAAGAAAGTCTGAAGGTGCCAGATCTGGTGAATGTTGTATGTGAGGAAGAATTTCACTAGACAAATTGTTGACTGTTAGCCACACTATTCTGTGCTTTGTGAGATGGACTGTTGTCCTGAAGCAAAAGGCAGGTGCACACAATCCTTCATTTTCTAGTAACAAACTTTCTAAGTTCTGTACGAAGACCTGAATAACACTGTCCATTAACAGTATCCCCATGAGGCAGGCATGCAATTTTTTTTAAATGCCCCCCCCCCCCTCCCAAATCTATCAGCATCAGTTTTCCTGCCGATTTCTGTGCTCTTGTTTGACAGACATTGGTAACCGTGGAGTTTTCCAGTGCTTGGGGATCAAAATGGTGAACCTAAGTCTCATCTGCTGTCACCCGAATCATCAAAATGTTTTCTGACAGACTCATTTTAAGTAACTGTCAAAAGGACTTTACCATCATTGTCCTCCTGTTCACCTTTTAGCAGGCATGGAACCCAGCAGGCATGGAACCCAGCAGGCACACTTTTCTCATGCTCAATCTGTTGTGTAGAATTCTACCAGCTGTACTTTTACTGAGCTTCACTGCTCTAGAAATGCCTTCAATGCTCAGTTTTCTTCACTGTTTTTCTGCAATCTCATTGGTGCACCCTGAGGATAGATGGTCTTCCACATCTTGGCATATCGGCACCATTTATGTGAACCTCCATTAAACTGTCTACACCAATTTTTCACCAAGGCGTTTGAAGAACAGGATTTCTGAAATACTGGCTCCATTTCCCTGTGTATTTCTGTTAGTACTTTACTCTGCAACATCAGGAATTTTAACACAGCTATGGCATCTAATGGCTTCATTTGTGGTGAACAAAATACACAGTAGATCCGGTCAACAGGGTGTACTGCATAGTGCATCGTAATGGTAAAACCTCCAAAGGATGAACCGCAAACTTCTCAAATTTAGTTGCAATATAATGAGCTATAAACTGCATTTAGTTGTAATATAATGAGCTATTATCTTACCAAGTTTCAATGTTTTCTAATTACTCCTTCATGGTTAGACTTATGAATCACTCCTCAAATAATGTGTGTCATCATCATCATCATCAATTTCCACTTCTGCCGTTAATCGTTGTGTGGAGGAATAGTTTGTGATCACACAAAAAAAAATTCCCAAAGCATTCTAGATATTTTGTTGTAATTCATCTGATATGTTTTTCTAGCAGTATTTTATTTCAGAAGTCTAATTTTGTGATTCAGATATATGCTTTTATTACAAATGGCCTTTTTGTTTAGTACTGTGTTTTAATAGTGTAATGGAATGTTTTGTATGGAAATAGTAATCAGCTTTTGAATTAGCTACATATTTATTAGGAAATCATACAGCAACAGGGATTTGGTTTATGCGAAGAATGCAGAGAATATAATGACAGAATAGGCAAACAAATGAGGCAGTTCTAGAGGCATTCAAATCATAAACTGATTTGAAAAATTAGACATAGACATTTGGTGTTTTTTGGGTATGTTATGAGAAGGAATGCACTTGAGAACTCAGTAATGACTAGCAGGAATAAGAGAAAGAGAGCGGGCGTAGCAAAGATGTAAATACCTGGATGACTTGGTTATTTGGATGGCAGTACCCACTACGCGATGCTGTGGCTCAGTTTGACGAAATAGACAAGAAAGAAAATAGAAAATGCATGTCTCTAATATGGTTAATATCACAATCATTGTCTGTGCAGATATAGAGATTGTCTGGTTTGACGACTCTAGAACACGCAACAAATAAGCATGCTGACTTTGTGAACCTTTGAAAATGAAGCTTGTTTGTTTGTTCAAGAGAGCTGTGAATGCAGTGCAGCCAACCAGCTTTGTGAAGATGGCACAGTCTTTATGTAAACTTGATACAGTATTTTGAATACCTTCTATTATTAATTAGCTACAATTACTATCAGTTTTTTAAATATTGTTATCCCCAGCTTTCAGTCATATTTTAGAAATATACGACTTTTCACCAGACCTGGCCACCTGTGATCTCATTACATCATTCAGGGAGTTTTCGTAAGTAAAACACAAATATAGTACATAGTTCCTATTGGAGAGATTCCAACACAGTACATTGCAGAGTGCTTAGAATTCAAACGCAGTACACTGCGGTATGCCTAGAATTAAAATAAAGCACTTAGTGGAATGCCTAGAGTTTTAACACAGTACACTGCTGAATGCCTAGAATTTAGTTACAGTACACTGCTGAATGCCTAGTAAGCCAGCATACCGCGATCGAAACCCACTGCAGGCAGCGCAGATTTTTATCGTGGTATGGGACGTCGCAGGTCGACCCAGCCTAAAATGGGTACCAGGATGGGCTGTCCTGGGAAAGTAAAGACAGCCGGCGTAATGCTGACCACATTACCCACAGAGTGCTGATGGTCTGTAAAAATATGGGACGCTCTGCTCATATGCCCGATGCGCCGAAAGGCGTGAAAAGGGATCTTTACTTTACTTACAATGCTGAGTGCTTAGTTTTTAGAATTTAGTTACAGTACACTGCTGAATGCCTAGAATTTAGTCACAGCACACTGCTGAATACCTAGAATTTAGTTACAGTACACTGCTGAATGCCTAGAATTTAGTTACAGTACACTGCTAAATGCCTATAATTTAGTCACAGTATACTGCAGAATGCCTAGAATTGAAACACAAAAAACACTGCAGAATGCCTAGAACTTAAACACATCACACTGCAGAATGCCTAGAATTCAAACATAGCACACTGCAGAATGCCTAGAATTCAAACACAGTACACTGCAGAATGAGAAAAATCCAAACAACACTTTACAGAATGCCTATAATTCATTCACAACACACTGTCATTGCAGAATATCTAGAATTCAATATTTCTGATCAGAGGAAGAGTTTACATTCAGTGCTGGTTCTAAAATCCTATAGTAATGAGTTGTTTCCTCCTCGACAGTACTGGAGTCTGTTGGTGACTTGGTTCCATGTTAAATAAGTATTGAAGGTGAGGAACTTTTCCCTCGTGCCTTGATGGCTATTGAGTCCATGGTGCTAGGTTCATAATTTATGTCAATCATTTGGCACTTGATGCTTGGTCAGTATCACAATGGGTATCTTTACTTCGAAAATATTTTCTGGAACCCATTTTATGCTTGGTTGAACAAGGAGCCCAGGTCTGTGAAGAGAATGTCTGCCTCAGTTGAGCTTCACATGCTTGACCATTTGGACATGGCAACACAACTATCACTGTAGTGCTATGGTTCCTAGCTGCCCCAGGGGAACCCAGCCTGGAAGATACTGCCTGTATTTCCACTTTTGTGGTTTAGACACAGGGTTTTTGAGCCTGAGGATTTAGGGCCTTATGTCTAATTGTGTCGCCACGGCCTGTGCACCCTAGGATTCTGTTTTTTGATGCCAACAGAAAAAAGTCTACAACCTTACAGAGGAACTTGAAAAAATAACCACTTGTAATTTTGAAATGTACCCTGTTCTGAATGTGAACTTAAACAATGTGCTCCTGATATTCAGGTCTCGAGGATTTGATGTCAAGTGGGTTGACGACACTCATGCTCTTGGTATATTCTCTAGTGCTATAGCAGGTGAGGAGTTTGTTGTGTTGTGGTCTGTTTTAGGAAGTTCACTAGCTGGCCAGATGTTTTTCAGATCCAGGAGTGCTGACACAAAGAAAAAAAGACAGAATTTGGGGGGGGGGGGATTCAAGGGACTTTAAAGCCTTATTCAAGTGTGTAATACTGTTAAACAGTAATAATGTGCTAAATAGCAGATTAGTAATATGCATTAAATGATATGATATACATAAACACACATTTAAAAAGAGAATGTTTGTTCATGACTGGGGGAGGGGGGGGGGGGGTCGGAGAAGATAAGAACACATAGCCCCTCCTCCTCCCTCCACCACTCCCACTCCTGAATTTTTATGGTGGGTTTAAGATACCTAAGCCCCAACCATTCTGGTGACTGTTTTTACAAGAGATATTCCTGCCTGTTGTAACTGCAGCCAGTTCTGGTTCGGAATGGTGCAGTCATTACATATGAAGCTTTTCATTGCTTTTTGATTTTCACCTGCAGTATATTTCCTCTTCCTCAGGTGGTTTTCAGGGCCCCATTTGTGGAGTATGTAGGTGGATTAAGGGGGGGGGGGGAGGGGGAATAGACCCACTGCTTCTAACAAGCATGTCCTAAAAGCTGGCTATGACTAAGGTTTTGCCGAAATCTGATGTTTTGAGCTGAAAGGCTCACCTAGCTGTAAAACACAGTACATCGTGCTAGCTGCTCTTACAAAATTAAATGCAGAAGAAAAAGTAGAATGTCCCCTCTGTGCATCTTCTAAGATAGATAGATGGATGGGAAAGACTAAGCTGACTAGAGATTACCTAATTGATACAGCATTCTAAACCTAAATTAAGTTGTGGCTTTGCTCATTCATTCATTACCCAGTTGTGCCATTGTGTGTCACATAGTGCTCGCAGTCTGTTCCTCTTTATTCCTTTCTGTCCTGTGCAACCAGTTCACTATCATAGATGGAGTCCTGTCCAGCAGCTTTGGCCTCTGTCATCAGCGTTCATCTAAGGGTTTCTTTTGGGCATCCTGGCCTCCTTAGTCTCTTTATTTTAATGCTTTGTGGTAGTTCTCTGCTGTTTTCTTCAAAGGATGTGTCCAATATGTCGCAATCTTCTCTGTTTTGTAACTCTTTGTACTGGTGGTTGCCCAGACATTTCTCTTATTTCTTCACCCCTTTTGAATTAATCCCAATTTATTTTCGTCATTTACCTCAGACATTTGTTTTTAAATTCATTTAACTTGCATTCCCTGTCTCGAGTGAGCTGTTGCTTAGTTTTTACAAAAGAAAGAACCTGAAGATTGTTCACATTCATGATGCCAACCAAAATAGAGTAAACAGTTATAGAATAGACATTTCATGATAGCCTATGAAAGTAGGCATGGATAATTTCACAGTCACTCAGGCTGCTAAAAGGTATTATGCCTTGGAAACAGAAATAAAATACTTGAACCATGTTATTTAAATGCTACAGGCTTAGCAAGATCAACATTGGAAGGCAATATTTTCACATGTATAAGAGTCTAGGGTTGGCTGCCATAATGGTAGACACACGATACTTGAATTACTTTAGACATGAGATAGCAATTCATTGAGGATAGACCTCGTGTGGGAGAACAAAGAATAGACTCACTGTTCACTTAAGAAGCATGCCATAGGAGGCCACTTATTATGGTGTTTCCTTCAAAGTCGGAGTGCATTTCCTCAAAAGGCAAGGAACCTTATGAATAAGCCAGATCTGTAGAACAGATGTGCACGCAAAACCCAAGTTCGGGATCGAAGCTAAAATCCAGGAGTGGATGAATAACCAGAAATTTCCACTTGAATTTACAGCTGGTGAACGCCAAGAAGTGGAGAATAGAATATGGATTGATATGTTCAGAACACTTCGTACCAGTTTTCAGCTGAATAACTTCACAGTACATGAGTTAGAGGCAGTTATTATTTATATACAAAATGCCCAAACTAATCATAAATTCAAATAACAGTTTACAAATGAGGCACAGAAAATAAACTTTTATAAAAGGTTAACTACTTATTCACGGAGCTGCAGTGGTTTAGTGGCTAAATGCCCAGTTGCTGACTCAAAGGTCTTAGGTTCCAATCTGCATCGAGATGGGTTTGATCTTGGCGCCCAGGCTGAGCCAGCCTTAAATGGGTACCAGGTAATGTCCTAGAAAGTAAAGGTGGCCGGCTTTATGTTGAGCACATCACCCATCAAATGCCGACCAGTTGAAACACATGTGAAACTAGCATCATATGCCAGATGCACCAAAGACGAGAAACAGGTCCTTGACTTTACTATTGTATGTATAAAAATGGCCAAACTTATCATGAATTACAGTAACACAATTTGCAAATAAGACATAATAAATTGTCGTACAAGTTTTTTTTTTTTTTTTACATATTCTGCTTGTATTAACTCTTTTGGTCCCGGGGGTTTAGATCAGCATTGGGAAAAGTTGTGGACTTGACAGATCATATTGAATTAAGAATCCAGAGACTCAAGGGGTAGTAAAGAGAGACATAAAATCTGTTCCTGTTGCTTTCATTGGGCTTCTAAATAGAAACCTATGAACGTATTATGATTTTTCCTTGCGACTGAAAGAGTTAAGTCTGTTGTTACTGTGTAGTAAGTAAAAGATATCTTTTCACACCATAAGGCATATTGAGTGTTTAACGCACTCTCTGTGCACAGCACACCACTTGGCCGGTTAGTTTGCTGGAATGGTTTCCTTTTATGCAAGTTTCTGTTGCACACTTCTTTTTCCAGAGCTAGATAGCTGGCCCCACACCCAGCCCTCCTCCCTTTTCACCCGCGCTTGGGAACAGCATTGGTGGAGATTAAGTATGTAGTCCCAGTCCCATATTCTTAGACCAAGGTGCACTTATTGAGTAATGTACTTTATATCAGGCCAGCTGCCTGTACTTCCCCAGGAGTTTGCTGGCGCTGATTTCAGGCTGGATGCAGTGGAAGCACAGGTTAATGAAAAAAATCCCTGCCTAAATGAGGATTTTGACCTGTCAGCACCAGGTCAGCAGGTTACCACTACAGCAGACTTTTACCTTGCAGGGACCTAAAAAGTAAAGGACCCTTTTTAAACCAGTGGCGAATAGGACATATGATGCTGGACTTATATGTTTTTATAGACCAGTCAGTACTCGATGGGTGATGTGGTCAGTGTTATGTCAGTTCCCTTTGCACCTCAGGACTTTACTAGTCTCCTTTTTTAGTCTGGATCGACCTAGGAGAAAATATTATTTCACACCCTGTTGATAGTAACATTTGTAACTTATCGGTTATTTCATTGTTGATGCAGGTTACATTGGTTTTTTAAATTTCTAATATTGCAGCCAAGGAAGCTCTGAAAATGATACATCCTCTGTTGAAAGTGAGACCTCTGTCTGAAGCTTCTAAGAAAGGACAGAGCAAAGCCAGACATTGTCAAGGTAACTCACTACTAGTGTATGTATGCAAATTGGATGGTTGATTAGTTTGGTTGCTGAATCCTGGAAGATCCCAGTGTGGGTTTCCGGACCTTATTTTGATGCAAACAGAACAGACCCTCTACCCCCTCAACAAGCATGTTGTATAAATAATTAATTAGAGGTTTGCTTAAATTGGATGTGTTGGAGAACTAGAGGTAGACCATGCAAACGATAGATAGAAGGAATATCTGAGGCTGTAAATTCCAGCATCTGCATAGCCATATACTAAGGCCGGCACTCAGTGCCTCTTTAGAACCTGACAGTATGTTTTTTTTTAAAGAATGTCTTTTAATTGGGCTAGAATATTTGAATTCTTTTAAAAACTTTTTTCAGAAAGTCTCTTTTCATTCGCAATCTCTCCAGAACTTGTGTATTTGATTGATTTTTTTTAACATAAAATACAGCCTATTTTTCTGTGTATCTATATCTCCCAACAACCCAGGTCCACTCAGTTCTAGTTGCTTGCGTATTGTTTGTGTTTCTGCACCATGCGGTGGAGCTGAGCATTAATAACATTTGACTATTCTCATTTTCAGTGTGTTGTTTATCTCTCTTGCTATGGGGCAAAGTCAGTAAATAAGTAACAAATGATTGTTTAATAAAAAAATTAAAAAAATAAAGACGATAATTTAAATACATTAAATTTTACACATACAGTGTCCCTTTGTTTATTTTCCAATATATTTCCACAAACATTGATGCATTTGTCCATCGTTTTTTTCAGTACTCCCAGACCTGCTGCATAGAACTGTGTGCTCTGTTTTTAATCCGCAAATTTTCACTTCACATTCAACTTCTTCATCATTCGCAAAATGCCTCTCGCTAAGGTGGATTTTCAGTGGACCAAAAAGGTGGAAATCTGTCGGGGCTAAGTTAGGGCTATAAGGTGGCTGTTTTAGAAGTCCCCACCCTAAGTGGTTAATTGTCTCCTGAGTTAACCGAGCCGCATGTGTCTGGCATTGTCAATAAGGAGCAGTACTCTTCTAGTCAGCACGTCTGGATGTTTTCTTCATATTGCATCAGGAAGCACCTATAGAACTTTGCAGTATGAATCAGCATTCATATTGTCACCTCTTTTTTTTTTTTTTTAAATTGGTTAAAAGCACTAATTGATGATTCCAGGACACTGTCAGCATAACCTTCCCTGCTGATGGCGTAACCTTGCATTTTTTAACACAATGCGAATAAGGATGTTTCCATTGTATCGTTTCTGTTGTTATGCTTTTGGGGCCTGCAGTTTTCCCATGAAGAATGGCCAATGACAAGTGACACATTATTTGGAACAGAAGAGTGAAATTGCAGTTTTATCCATCAATTTATCTTGCAGTATTGGTTCCATACATGCAGTATTGCTTGTAATATCTTATTTGCAGAGTTTCTTCAACCTTATAAAGCTCGACCAGAAACAACTTCTATTGCTGCTCGCCGTTTGGTTGCTGGGGCACTGGGTATGATGCCTCTAGTGTCAAAGGAGGTCAGAGATCTGGAGCGAAAAAAGTTGAAGGAAGCCAAAGGTTAAATTCTTTTCTTGTCATTTTGCTTGTCTTTGCTTTTGTTTTTTCCCTAAATCATGTTTGTAGGATACAGATATGCAGTTTACACTGATCAAGATGTTGTCTTTGCCACAACTTGGCACATCCGGGTGGACACTAAAGTGAAGCAAAGAAGCTTACAACCAACCCGTTCTATTCTTTACCATCTCATGCATCTCACTTTATAAAAATTCATATATAATCCACCTGTCTTTAATTATCCTCTTTGTGTTATAGGTCTCCTCAAATGTTTTTGCCCTGTTTCTCCAGTGCAGGGGCATTCTTTCCTCATCGTCCCATCACACTGCGTGTCGTTGGGTTGAATGACTGAGGCCTGTCTAGTCAGTCAAGTTCTGTACCCAGGTCTTTCTTTGTCTGCCTCTTCTCCTCTTCCCTCTACTGAGCCCTGTATTATTATTATTTTTGTATTTTTTATAGAGAGACACTGTTATATCGTATTACATTTGCATTTTCCACCTCTTCACTAGTTAAAAGAGGTTCATAGTTGCTAATATGTCGGGTAATTTTACGGCAAACCTCGTTATTTTGGATGTGGTCCCAGTTATGATATGTCAAGAACTTCTCAAAGATCGCATTTCCTTTTCTTGTATCTTTTTGTGAGTTCTGCTGTTAAGGTCCACATTTCACAGCCATATGTCAACATATTAATAGCTAGTGCTGTGAGCAGTCTAAGCTTAGTTTAACATGAAATATGTTTTGGATCTCCATAATATTTGCTACTTGGAAGGATTGATGATGTCCGGGCAATCTTAGACATCATTTATGGTCTGAACCTTAGGTAACTTGAAATGGATCTTAAATATTAATAATGATTTACTTGTTTTAAAATGTGACCTTTAATGTACATTGGTGTGGTTATGCCAGCTGGATTATTAGTTGTTAAGGGCATTCTGGTCATATTATTAACTTATCAAGTTTTATCAATGTATGCAGCTTCAGGATTTTTATGTTACCTCTTGTTTGTTTAGTTTCTCCTCTAGCTCCACATTAGTGATTCTCTTGTACCATTTTATAACTTCTTTTCTGTGCAGGTCCTAGTGAAATGAATGTTTTCAATTTATTGGTAATTCTTTTAGTGGTTCCTAGGTTGCTGCTCTGAAAAGCAGTATTTATTTGACATTATACTTCAATTTTCTAAGTTTATTGCTGTGTTTAATGTCTTTTGACTGCAAACATTTCCTAGTTCCACGAGAGGTCTGTTTAATTTTTCATGCATGTTTTTAAATGTCTGTCTAATTCTCTATCTTGTTTACATGTTTTCACAAATACATCAACTTCTAACATTTAAAGATATGTTTCGCTTAGGGTTAGTTGGTTATTCTTTGCTGTATTTATTCTTATTATCTTGGTCTGTTTGTATTGTTAGAGTAGGTCTAGTAGTAGCAGCCTTGCATTGAGTATATTTAATTTATCTTGATCTGTTTTTAATGATTGAAATAGGAGGATACTGTGATTGGCCACGGCAATCACCAGCCTCAGGTTTTTCTTGTCACACAGGAAAAAGCTATTCAGATAAATACATTTTGGCATGAACAGAAATGCATTTCTTGTTGTCTATTTCTTCTACGATAGTGTACTTTTTAAACACACTTTCAGCCGTATATTTATCACACTTTTTCAGTTGCCTGATCTTGGTTTTTTGTATTTTTTTAATCTTCAGAAAGGCGTCGTCAGGAGAGACAACAGAAAATTGATATGTGGGATGGGAGCTTCAAGAAATGTGCCATGGATGAGGAAAACACTGATTGTCGGTGAAAGTGATCTCTTGTGCCAACATTTTATATGGGCATGCTTAATGCTTCTTAAACATTCTTGCGCCCTGCATATTCTGAACTTTCCAGAAGGTTAATGTTTGCAGTTGACATTACCACTCATTTCTTGGAATATCTTTAAGAGAAATGTAGTTTTTAAAAAAAAAAGGCATTGAACATAAAAATTGTAGCAGACAAACAAACAAAAGCGAACTTAATAAAAGCTGAAAACTAGTAAAATTGCTGCTCATGTCTGGGTAAAAAAACTGTTCATTTTGTTGCCCGTGTCAAGAGAAGTGTACTTTGAGAATTTGAAATTACTGCTTATATTGATATTATCACTAATTTCTGGGCATATGTTCTGATAAGGTTTAGTATCATCAAATGGAATGACTACTTATTTCTGGGCACAGTTTTTACTCAGTTCTAGGCCTTTGTTCGGGAGAAGTGTAATGCTTGCAAGTGAAATTACTACTCATTTGTAAGTGAAATTGTTGTTAATATTTGAGCAAGAGAGGTGTAACCCTTTGTCTACTGTCATCACACAAGCCAGAGATGAGGGGGTTCGGATCTAGACCATTGTTTCCCCAAGTGGGCACTACCGCCTCTGACCAGGTGCTCTGGGATAATCCAAGGAGGCGCTTGCAGTCGTGATCAAAATTGTGGAGGGGGAAGTAGACAAAGGCGCAGTTAGGTGGCATCATTCTGTTTGTTCTGTTACATAAGGTGTATGTATGTATATATTTCTGTGTGTGTGTGTGTGTGTGCATGAGTACGCATGCATGCCTGCAAGATAGAGAGAAAGAGAGGGAGGGGAGAGAGAGAGAGAGAGAGAGAGAGAAACCATGATTTAGCTGATCATTTGGGATGGAGAATCCTTGTGCTTATTGGCATGGAACAAGATGGTAATGATATTTCCAGGTGGGTAGGGGGTAAGGGCAATATTTCCCCCTCCTTGAAAAGGGGCTTTGGGCCAAGCAAGTTTAGGAAGATATGGTCTAGATCTGTGTTCTTCAACCATTTGTCCGCAGCCTAATGGTGGGCCGTTGAAAATTGCAGAAGGGCAGCCAAAATTGGCTTATAATATAACAAAAAAATGAACACTATCTTTTATTTTAAAAAAAAAAATTATTTCTTAACCCTACCAGACCTGACGCCCTGAACCTAACTGTCCCTATAACGTAGCTCCTGGGCACTAACACGCAGAAAACCAACATGATGTACAAAAAAATTAGTTACAAGTGGTTAGAATAAGATAAAACTTGGAGACATTGTAGAAAATAGGTTTACCTTTCATCTAGCGCCAATCTTCCCCCTTTGTGTGCCAATCCACCTAGTAGGATCTGCCTTGATTCGCAAAGTAAGCACCAGATGTTGCTGTTTGAGGGACACGCCCTCTTCTCTTACTATCGATCTAGTTTTAAATCTATAATTTTCATAATTCTCCTCCTCACTCTAGCTCTAACTGACTGTGTCATTTCAACTGGGAACGTATTCTTCATGAACGTATTCACAGTCTGAATTAACCAAAGTATTGATCACCTGTTGGACTGTGAAAAGCCTAGACCTACGTCACTTTCTTGTCGAAGCCGCTGGTTTCATTAAGATTTTTCCAAATTTTTTTCACATCAAACCACACAAAGAAATCTCAACACACGTCGGAAGTCATTCGCAATGACTAACAACGAAGTCTGATGGTGATTGGTTGGTTATTTTTAGTCTGTGACGCATATCTGTCACGTACTACGTAAATTCTAGGAAAAGTGGGCTAGCAGTTTAGCGGCTGGTTAGGAAATTCCCTGAAAATCGGGCCAGCGGTCTGGTAGGGTTAAGAGTTAAGAATTGGGCACACAGGTCTGTCTTACATTTTTGACTCTCTTCTTGCATACCTTATTCCATACATCATAAAAAATTTTTTTTTTTTTTTTACTGATGAAAATCATCATCAGTAACATCTAAGTCTTAGTTATAAATGCTGGAATGTGCTCTTAATATACCTGCATTGTAAAACAATAATAATAAATAAATATAATAGGTAGTGTAGGTAGTTTTTAACTTCTGTGGTTGTACTCTATAAGATTAATGTAGGATTAACTTCAAGTATGAGAATCAAACACGTCGAAATCCTGGAAACACAGTCCAACCGCAAAACACAGTTATATTAGGGCACCCAATGGTTACAAAACCTGATGGATAAAAGGGTTACATTTCTGTCTTTGATCAGCTGTCGGCTAGTCCACAAAACAATGTCTCCTGATTGAGAAAGGCGCGGATGTAAAAAGGTTGGGAATCTCTGGTGTAGGTCATGCCCTTTAATGGTAAGATGAACTCTCTCGCCACAAGAAGCTAAAAACTTGGCGCTTCCGGTTTATGTAATGGCCCTGTAGACACACTTTCCCCAGCTTGCTGTAGAGGTTTGTTAACTGGCAGCTCTGCTAAAAGCATTGTTTTCATGTTTTACAGGGCAGTTAGAATGACAGTAAACAAGCATAATTGCTTAAAAAAAAAAAAAGCATTTAAGTGGGGGAGTTTTCTTTTGGTAAATGGCTTTATTCATAGAATTTAGGAACACCATAATTTCCTGTTAGTTACAGTGGTAACTGGCGACAGGGTCGCGGGAACAAGGAACAGGTCACGCTAAACATTTTTTTTTTAAAGCTGAGGTCCTTAAGTGGAATTGTTATGATGTTTTATATGACCTGTGTTTTTTAGTAGAAAGAATGTTTTTAATTTTTAAATTAAAAAAAAAAATAGGTCACCAGGGTGAAAGGGTTAATATTTAATAGCACAAATTTTGAATTGAAATTCAGAGCTGCAGTAGTGCAGTGGTCACTTGGTTAGTGTACTTTTCTATCAAGACAGTGATCCAGGTTTAGTCCTCAGCAATGACAGGATTTGTGTGACCAGTAGGAGGGTACACAATAGCTACTGGTTAATTTTCAGTATCATATGGGAAGAGAACAGGTCAGTCCATGTCATTGTGCAAAATCATCGTCATCATCATCATCATCAGGTGCCTTGCCGACTGGCATGGGTGATCATGCCTCTCCATGCGATCTCCTGCAGCATGTATCAGTTCGTGTGCCGATACACCTCCATGCCATGCAACAAGACTGTCAAGCATCTTCTCTCGTTGTCTTCCTCTATCCCTCCTTCCACAGATCTTTCCAGTGGTCACAACATGTTCTCTTTTCCCTCTTCTCATAACATGGCCGAAAAATTATGACTGTCTCCTTCTGATGTCTGTGATAAGTTGTCTTCGGGCTCCCGCCTCTTTCAAAACCTCTTGGTTGCTCTTTTTGGCTGTCCAAGTTATTCTAAGCATTCTTCTGTAAAACCACATCTCTGAGGCCTCTAAAAATTGTTTGGCGTGCCTACCGATTGTTGTGCAAAATCCTAGAATATATTAAGACATGATAGTTTTCGCTGCAGTGGCAGTATTTATGATGTGATTGCCTTTATCTGAATTTGAAGTAGACAGGAGAAAGGGAGTAATGAGCCATGTTACTGTTATATTATGCCAACAAACATTGTTGTTATTGATCATATTTTACCCTCTGTGGGTTCCGGGGCCGCATTTTAGGGTGAAAACAGAATAGACCCACTGCTGCATGTCTTGAAAGGAGACTTATTAGGGATGCTTCCTTTTGTAGTCTGAGGGCATCTGCCTGAAAGGTCAGGAACCAGCATCCTGCATACAATTAGGCCATCTCTGTAAAACTTATGTGCACACAAACCTCAGGTCCTGGAACAAGACCAGAGACCAAAAGTGGAGGACTACCAGAACTTTCTGCCAGAGTTTACAGCTGGTGAACTCAAAGACAAAGAAAATCACATTTCACTTTTTTGTGTGTATGGAACTTAGGCACTGTTTAGATGGAGATTAAAAATAGTAAAAAATTAACTCTAAGATGTGATCAGTACCACTGCATGGAGCAGAAACACGGCGAACAATTAAAACATTTACCAATAAATTAAAACTTACATTAATTTTTGCATGCCTTGACTATTGGGTATTAAATGGTATGTCAGAACCACTAATTTTGAACTTGAGAACTAAACAAATTCCAGTATATGAGGTGAGCAAAGCCTAGTGCTGGAAAGGGACACACATCAAAAAAATATATCAACAGTATAACTAGAATTTTATTGCGTTAGAACTGACAGCTGTAAAGAAATAAAAATGAATATTGCGTATCAGCCCCAATATTTGTCGACTGTTTGTAGTTTCACTAGGCAGTTTTATGTTCATTGCCATTGTCTTCTAAATGGTCTTTCTACTTGCCTTTGTCGAAATCAACACTAACTGGAGTGTTGGCAAATCACCTGTAGCTGGATTGAACCAGGTATTTCAGAATTACAACCTGTCAGTGATGCTAACTGAAGAAATAACTGGGGATTAAAAAACACTAGGAGAAGATAATTAGAGACCACTGGAAACTGTCAAAGAGTAGTAGGACTTGCTATAAACTAGTTAGGGGTCTGTACTTGGGGTTTAAGGGATAAATGACAGAACAAGAACAAGAGTGTCTGCCTGCAGTTTATCCTCTCACGGCTGCTACCTGAAAGGTTTGACACCCTGAGATCTGAAGGTTTGACACTGTGTGACTAAATGCAGACCTACAGGACCTGAAGGTTTGACACAATGGGACTAAATAATCTCTGTGTGCTGATGGCAGACCAACAGGGCAAGGCTAGACCCTTTTGACCTTGAAAGAAATGATATTAAGGGCACCCAAAACAGGCACACTATGCCAGTGTCACCTGCAGTCCTGTGTCGGTTAGGGTGTCATTAATGATCACATTTTAGTTGAATAGCTGAAAAAACATGAGCTGCTGATCTCAGCAGATGGGTTTAGTTTAGCAAATGTTTGTAATATAATACTTTTGTTTTAACTCTTGTTGTGTGATAATACAATTGTAAGCATGGCATTTTGTTTGTTTCATATTTTATATCAGCAGGGAGAGTGAAATTGTTTTGTGGTCAGAATGGAATCAAGATTT